TGTTTTAAAACTTTTTAATTGGTAAATGAGTTTTAATTGGGCCAAATTTATATATCTTTTAATTGTTTTTAATATTTGTTCTGCATGTTTTTTAATCTGGCTGTACACCGCCCAGAGTCCTCAGGGAGAAGGGCGGTATAGAAATCCAATATAAAATAAATAAATAAAATAAATTATGGCTAGTGAACCATAGGTCCTTCCTTCCTTCCTTCCTTCCTTCCTTCCTTCCTTTTTCCTCCTTCCTTCCTCCCCTCCCCTCCCTTCCCTCTTCCCTCAGCTGAGCCGCGCGATCATCAGAGGCTTTTTTTTTTTTTTTTACTTTTAAAAGCATTTTTTTCGGCCAAAGAGGTTGTAGAAAAAATGCTTCTAAAAATAATTTTTAAAAAGCCTCTGATGATTGCACAGCTCAGCTGGGCAATGGGGGTGGGGAGGGATTTTTGCTACCGGTTCTCCGAACCACTCGCCTCCATCGCTGCCGGATCGGGCGATCCGGTCCGAACCAGGAGCATTTCACCCCTGCTCTAACTACAGGTTGTCCTCAATTTAGGACCACCGTCGAGTCCAAAAATTCCCGTCGCTAAGCGAGACGGACGTGAAGTACATTTGGCTTCATTTGACGGGCCAGTCTGTGGCCAGAGGTGTTAAGCGAATCACTGCCGTGGTTCAGTTAGCGAGAGACGGTCGTTCAGCGAATCCGGCTTTTTCCCCGTTGACTTTGCTCGTCTGAAGGTCGCAAAACAGGGATCCCGTGACAAAGCACCCCCACCCCCGCCCCCCGGGGACACTTCAACCAGCATAACTACATGCCAGTTTCCAAGCCTCTGAATTTCGATCCCGTGACCCTGGGGAACCGTCGTTAAGTGTGAAAAGCGGTCACGAGTCACCCCTGTGTAACTTTGAACGGTCACTAAATGGATGGTTGTAAGTCGAGGACCGTCTACATACCCTGGGATGAGACGAAACCCACTCAACCATCTTCGACTCTCCGAATCCAAAGCCAGAGATTCTAAAATAATATTTTTTAAGACTAGATTTATTTATATTTTTTGTTTTCAAACTTGGCCGCTTTAAGATCTGTGGGCTTCAATTCTCCCACGCTGGCTGGGGGATTCTGGGAACTGAAGTCCCCACCTCTTAAAGTGTCCAAGTTTGAAAAAAAAAAAACGCTGCTCTGAAATATCTTGGCACAAAGGGACATGATTATAGCTTTTCCTAACAATAATTACCTGTCTCCCTTACTTTGCTCTGACAATTTTCACTCCCAAAAATATATATATTATCTCCAAATGAATGTAATCGTCACCCACAACCTTCCCCTCTAGTCAAATTTGGAACCCTGAAAACGCAAGGAGCTCACCTGATGAACAAGTACACGGGATTAAAAAAAAAACATAATAACAGAGTGGGAAGGGATCTTGGAGGACTTCTAGTCCAACCCCCTGCTCAGGCAGGAAACCCTATATACCATTTCAGACAAATGGTTGTCCAATCTCTTCTTTAAAAACCTCCGGTGTTGGAGAATTCACAACTTCTGGAGGCAAGTTGTTCCACTGGTTAATTGTTTTAACTGTCAGGAGATTTCTTCTTAGTTGAAGGTTGCTTCTCTCCTCGATTAGTTTCCACCCATTGCTTCCAGAGAGAGAGAGAGACAGGGAGAGAAAGAGGGAGAAAGAGGGAGAGAGAGAGAGACAGAGAGACACACAGAGAGAGGGAGAGACAGACAGAGGGAGAGAGACAGAGAGAGAGGGAGAGAGAGAGACAGAGAGAGAGGGAAAGAGAGACAGAGACAAACAGAGAGAGAGAGAAAGACAGAGACAGAGACACAAAGGGAGAGAGACAGAGAGAGAGACAGAGGGAGAGAGAGACAGGGAGAGACAGAGAGAGAGGGAGAGACAGAGACAGAGAGACAGAGGGAGAGGGAGAGAGAGACAGAGAGACAGAGACGGAGAGGGAGAGGGAGAGGGAGAAGGAGAGAGAGAGACAGAGAGAGACAGACAGGGAAACAGAGAGAGAGAGAGAGAGAGACTGAGACAGAGAGACAGAGGGAGAGAGACACAGAGAGAGACACAGAGAGAGACACAGACAGACCGACCGCTGACAGATAGATAGATAGATAGATATAGATGATAGATAGATAGATAGATAGATAGATAGATAGATAGATAGATGATAGATGATAGATAGATAGATGATAGATAGATAGATAGATAGATATAGATAGATAGATAGATGATAGATAGATAGATAGATAGATAGATAGATGTAGATAGATAGATAGATAGATAGATAGATAGATGATAGATGATAGATAGATAGATAGATAGATGATAGATGATAGATAGATGATAGATGATAGATAGATAGATAGATAGATGATAGATAGATAGATAGATAGATAGATAGATAGATAGATAGATAGATAGATGATAGATGATAGATGATAGATAGATAGATGATAGATAGATAGATAGATAGATAGATAGATGATAGATAGATAGATAGATAGATAGATAGATAGATAGATGAATAGATAGATAGATAGATAGATAGATAGATAGATAGATAGATAGATAAGTTTTAGTTTATCCTGTGTGCATTGTTTAGCTGTGGGTGGACAAAATCCGAACATTTGTAACCGCAGGAAGCTGCCTGGCTGCAAAGCCCTCATTCCCCTGAACAAGTCCCTCACCCTGAAGCTTGTCAAAATCCTGCACTGTCATCTCATCCCCTTTACAACCAGGTGTTGTGCACCTCCCAACCACAGTTCCGGGGGTGGAAGGGAAGCAGTGAGTTAAATCAGAGGGCGGGAAGGTCGTAACTTCCCAATCCAATTGAGTAATGTACCTTTGAGGCTGCAAAGCGCATTTCTGCCCACGAGAATAAATCCGATTGGCCAAGGGCCCCATGGCACCCAAGAAGAAAAGGAAAGAAAAAAAAAAAAAAGAAAGGATAATTTCCCTGTCCACCCACTCATCCCTTGCCAGAAAGGCCTGTAGGATTCTTGGCCACTTTCATCCTGTTAAATCACACCACGTTCCCTTTTGAAATAGACACACAAGGTGTGGATAACAGAATAACAGAGTTCGAAGGGACCTCGGAGGTCTTCTAGTCCAACCCCCTGCTCCAGGAGGAGATCCTATAACATCTCGGACAAACGGTTGTCCAGTCTCTGCTTAAAAGCCTCCGGTGACGGAGCACCCGCAACTTCTGGTGGCAAGCTGTTCCACTGGTTAATTCTTCTCACTGTTAGGAAGTTTCTCCTTAAGTCCAGGTTGCTTCTCTTTCTTTCTTTCTTTCTTTCTTTCTTTCTTTCTTTCTTTCTTTCTTTCTTTCTTTCTTTCTCTCTTTCTTTCTTTCTTTCCCTCTTCCTTCATCCTCCCTCTCCCTTCCTCTTGCTTTTTTCTTTCTTTCTTTCTTTCTTTCTTTCTTTCTTTCTTTCTTTTCCTTCCTTCCTCCCTCCCTCCCTCTTTCTTTCTTTTCCTCTTCCTTCATTCCACTTCCTTCCTTCCTTCTTTCCTTCTTCCTTTGTTCCTTCCTTCTTCCTTTGTTCCTTCCTTCCTTCCTCTTTCTTTCTTTCTCTCTTTTCCTCCCTCCCTCCCTCCCTTTCTTTCTTTTCCTCTTCCTTCCTTCCCCTTCCTTCCTTCCTTCTTCCTTTGTTCCTTTGTTCCTTCCTTCTTCCTTTGTTCCTCCCTCCCTCTTTCTTTCTTTCTTTCTTTCTTTCTTTCTTTCTTTCTTTCTCTCTTTTCCTTCCTTCCTCCCTCTTTCTTTCTTTTCCTCTTCCTTCCTTCCCCTTCCTTCTTTCCTTCCTTCCTTCGTTCTTCCTTTGTTCCTTCCTCCCTCTTTCTTTCTTTCTTTCTTTCTCTCTTTTTCTTCCTTCCTCCCTCCCTCTTTCTTTTCCTCTTCCTTCATTCCCCTTCCTTCTTTCCTTCCTTCCTTCTTCCTTTGTTCCTTCTTTCTTCCTTTGTTCCTTCCTTCTTCCTTTGTTCCTTTTCCTTCCTTCCTCTTTCTTTCTTTCTTTCTTTCTTTCTTTCTTTCTTTCTTTCTTTCTTTCTTTCTTTCTTTCTCTCTCTCTCTCTCTTCCTTCCTCCTTCCTCCTTCCCCTTCCTTCCTTCCTTCCTTCCTTCCTTCCTTCCTTCTTTCTTTCTTTCTTTCTTTCTTTCATTCATTCATTCATTCCTTTCTTAATAATAATCAAAATACAGCTGGAAGGGACCTCCGAGGTCTTCTAGTCCAGCCCACTGCTCAAGCAGGAGACCCTACACCATTCCCGGACAAATGGCTGTCCAATCTTTTCTTTAAAACCTCCAGTTGATGAAGCACCCACAACTTCAGGTGGCAAGCTGTTCCCCTGGCTAATTGTTCTCACCGTTGGGACCTTTCTGCTTAGTTCTTGATCCCCCAAACACCTCTTCCCCTCCCCCCTTGTTTGTTTGGGTTTTTTGCAAACATGGATCCCCCCCCCCCAAAAAACCCCTACTCAGTTACCCCAAGTTAGACATTGATGGCGGTCTGTGACCGACCGACTTTTAACCAACGCTAAGTCCTCAGGGTAGTGGAGATGTTTCTTAAACGTCAGCCCTGCAGGGACAATCAGACGCAAAAACAGACACCGGGTGTGGCTACAACTACTTTGATCTAAATTGCAGTAATTAGCATAGCAGCCCCGTCTTCATCAAAGTAGTTCTAGCTCTAAGAGGCGTCTGTTTCGCAGGCTGGTCCACCTCCGTGCCGTGCCGAACGAGGATGATTAAAGGGAATCAAACATTCCTCCCCGAGGATTTGGGGTGGAAGGTATTCATTGTGGAAGTCACGTCTTCGTTTTCCAGATGGGTTTTCCTGAAAATCCAGCCCGATGAATTCAGCCAAAACTTCGCTCCCCCTCTTTAATTAGCAAAGCTCATGATTAAGAAAACACCTGGCAAACTAAAAATAATAATAATAATAATAATCCCAAACAGACTATTTTTAGAAGATTTCAAAACAAGACTGTGAGGTCCAAAATGGACCATCCGGCAGCGGGAGTATCGGCGGCGACCCTGGAGCCCAGGAATCCACCGTCCGTTTCGTCGCGACGTCAAGCTCCTCCTCCCCCAGATACTGGTTGTGTGTGTGTGTGTGTGTGTGTGTGTGTGTTAGGTCCCAAAGGTGCTTTTTTTTCCCAAGAGACCACTGGACTTTCTTTGTTTTTTTTCCTTGAAGATGTTTCACTTCTCATCCGAGAAGCTTCTTCAGTTCTTCAGAGCGAAGGAGATCAGTTCTTCAGAACTGAGGAAGCTTCTCGGATGAGAGGCGAAACCTCTTCAAGGAAAAACAAAACCCAGTTGCCTCTTGAAAAAGCATCTTTGCGACAACCCTGACCTGGATGCAGGGGTGGGATTAAAAAATTTTAGCAACCAGTTCTCTCCCCGGTTTCTGGGTGGGTGGGGCCTACTTGGCCTCCTGCACCACGGCAGGGAGGGGCGTTTTTGCCCTCCCCACGCTTCGGAGGCTTTCCTCGAGCCTCCAGGAGAGCGAAAACAGCCTCCCCCGGGTTCCCGAGGCCCTCCAGAGGGTGGAAACAGACACATTTCCGGACTTCTGGTACTTCCGGTAGGCCCAATTTTCATCCTCCCAGAGCCTCTGCGCAGGCCCTGCACTTACCTGGCATCTAAATTGGGCCATGTGGAGTCTTCTGGGAGGGGCAGGGAGGGGTCAGCCCGTCCTTGCAACTACCAGTTCAACAAACCAGATTAAAATTAACATCTGATTTGCCCGAACCGGCTGAATCCCATCCCTGCCTGGATGACTGAGAATCTCCATAGACATTTAGTGTGGTCAGAAGGTTTCTCCGCAAATTCTCATTTTTTGGGAAAGCTCTGCCAGATGTCCCCTTCAAGATTCTTGGGTCTCATGGACCTCCCCTTCCTCTGGAAGTTCTCCCCTCACTTTGCAATGTTCTCAGAGGACAGTAAACGGAGCTTCTCCAAAATGCAAAATGGGATGGATATATTTGTCAATTTTCTGTTCTTCGGGCTGCAGTCAGAACTCCAAGGACTTTCTGGGATTTAGGATCACAAATAAAACTCCATTTTGCTTCGGTGATTTTCAGATTCGTCTCCGGCATTGTTGAATTCTACTACAAATCCGATGACGCCGTAAAGGAGGACTCTGAACTACAAGCCTGGATAAATGAGATCTTCACAGAAGCTTTCTTGAGTAGAGAATCTTCAGGTAAGGTTTGCCACCAGCCGTCACCCATCCCGGTCTCTCTTGAGGACCTCTCTGGATTCCTCAGCTAGAAGGTCGAATCCACATAGAGGGAACAAAGTTGGTTTCCTCCATACCATCTCTACTTGGAGATGGGTTCCAGAACGGTTCTCTGTGTTGAATGTACAAAATAACTGTCTGGAAGAAGGTGCACCATCCACGTTGATGCTCCTAATGCTTTCTGCTAAAAGGAAGAAGACCTCGGCTTGGCTACCTTGGTGGTAGATCCACCAGAGATCGGTACTTCCCTTCCTCTATCCAGATTCCTGGGTTTCTAGAGAAGTGGAAATTACACGGACAAACCAAACTGAATAATACATCCCTTGGTTGGACATGTGTCAGAAGAAGATATATGGTCCACCATGCCTGACGTTCTCAGTGATGCCGATGTTACATGATATTATGTGACGTTAAAATTTTTCCCTATCGGTTCTGTGGCCGTGGCTTGGTGGGGGTGGGGGGTGTCCTGTGACTGAGTGATCTCACTCATGGCCACGCCCACTCAGTCACATGACCTCCACCACCACCAAGCCACACCCACAGAACCCGGTAGGAAAAAAATGTGTGTATGAGCACCAGAAGGGCTCATGGTGAATGCTGTGGCGGAGAGAAGCTGAACGTTTCTCCCTCCATTCACAGCGAAGCTGCTGCTCCCTTTATGGTCCACCCGCTGGCCCCCTCCCTTCCGGGGACTACATTAGGGGGACAGGCTGCAGCGGCCGGAAGAGGTGAGCGGAGACCAGGCGAGCAGATGGGGGTGGGAGTGGCCAACCAGGGGTGATTTTTACCGGTTCGGCGAACTGATTCAAATCGTCTCTACCGGTTCGCCCGAGCCAGTCTGATCCGGTCAATTTTCACCCCTGATTATGTCCCTATGTGGTATTCAGCCGGTTTGGACCAGTTCCGGTGACCCGCAGCGAACCGGTGGTAAAATTATATGAAACCCCCCTCTGCCCATGTGCAACATTTTACAAGATTTCCACACTCTCACCTCAGAGTGAGGGGAATTATCTTTTTTTTACACTGTGCGGTGTGGTTCTTGTGTTGTGTTTTCAACTACCTTGATCCTCAGGAACTGGTCACTGCATGGTTGAGGCTCAGCAGATGTAGGCATCCAGATGTTACTTGAACCCCACGGAGCCATGATCCTCTCAACCTCGGTAACTTTTAAGAGATGGGGGCTTCAACTCCCAGAATTCCCCCATCCGGCTGGGGAATTCTGGGAGTTGAAGTCCACACCGCTTCCATTTGCTGAGGTTGAAGAATACTTCCATAGAGTACCACCTCGTTATATACGTTTGATGAGTCCCAACTTCGTTTCCACTCTTTAATTAGCAAAACTGATGATTAAGAGAACAGCTGGCAAGCTAAAAAAAAAATTATAATAATCCCAAACAGATAAACCAGTTTAGAAGACTTTCAGATACTGGTTTTTGTGAAGGATTAGAAGGTTTCTTGGCAAACTGTCACTTCCTGGGAAGGTGTCTTAGATGCCTCCTTCAGAATTCTTGGCCTCGTGGTAGTCTCTCCTTCTCCTTCTCCTCTTCTTTAGAAGACTTTCAGATACTGGTTTTGTGTGTGTGAGTGTGTTTGTGAGGTCAAAAGTCCCAAAGGTGCTTTTTCAAGAGGCCTTTCTTTATTTTTTCCTTGAAGAGGTTTCGCTTCTCCTCCGAGAAGCGTCTTCAGTTCTTCAGAGCAAAAGAGATCACTTCTTCAGAACTGAAGAAGCTTCTCGGATGAGAAGCGAAACCTCTTCAAGGAAAAACAAAGCAAGTCCAGTGGCCTCTTGAAAAAAAGCACCTTTGGGGCAACCGTGACCTGGATGATTTGAGAATCTCCGTAGACATTTTAGACTGACAATTTCTCGATGAATTCTCATTTTGGGAAAGCTCTGCCAAATGCCTCCTTCAGGATTCTTGGGTCTCGTGGACCTCCCCTTCCTCTGTCAGATACTGGTTTTGTGACAATTGTATGATGAGGGTCCTATAGTGACTTAGGCTTACTGAGTCATTACAAGACACAATTAGTTCCAAAAAACCCCGATTTTATTGTAACAGCTGAGAATTACGTTCATTCCCAGTTGAGTCCCAATTAGTTGCAAAAGAAGTCCTTTGGGATAATCACCAACCTTTATCTTCTTTGACCCCCTGCCAAAGGCCTTACTTGGCAAAGCCCCACGGAGTTCAGAAACAAACAAGAGATGCCGACTGGAAACAGAGTTAGCAACGTTGCTCTCTGCAAAAGGCCTTTGTTTCTCTTTTAAGCCTTCTGGGAGGGGCCAATCATCTCCTGGCCTTACTCCCAAGTCATCCCTTTTGCTTTAGCTACTCTTGCCTTCTGGACGCTCTGGGCATGCGCGCACTAGGAACAGGCTCCTCCTGTTCCTCTGCCTCTCTGCTCTCTGACTCTGGGGGCTCCGGAGTCCGCGCATCGCTCCCAGATGGCCCTGGCCCCATCTCTGCCTCCGACACAGAGCCCTCGTCCGGGCCTTCCCCAAAGTCCAGGACTGACCCATGTTCCTTCCCAGCCTCCTCACTGTCCGACTCTGTTACCAGCTTTGCAGGCTGCTGGCGGACCTCAACCAGTCATGTGTCTTCCTGATCAATACAACTTCGGTGGACAATACCAGAGGTGGTATTGCGAACCGATAACAGAAATCGAGGATCTGCCCTGGCTCTATGCCATCCTATTCAGGCATGTTTTGAGGCCGGGTGCATGCACGGAAGGCACGCGCGCGAGCAAAGTGCACGCACAGAAGGCCGGGAGCATGTGGAGAAGGTAGTAACAAAATGTGAAACTCACCGCTGGACAATACCTGACATCCTGTCCATCCTCCAACAGGTGTTCCATCCGCTTTCGACAACCGAGCTGAGTTGATCAAGTTTCTTACCATGGTTATCTTCAACTGCTCTGCACGGCATTCGGCAGTCAACAGTGGGCAGGTAGGCAATTCCTTCGGCAGGTGGGTGGGTTTTACTTCTTCTAATGTTCCTCCTTCGTCCCTGGGATTAAGCAACAAAACTTGCTGTTGAGCGGTGTTTCCCCAACGTTGGGAACTTTCCTTTTTTTTAAAAAAAAAAGTTTTTTATTTTTATTTCTTATACACATATTGTAAATGTACATTCTCTTATAGATTTCTTTTTTTTTTAATTGGCCATGTGTGATTGGACACACAAGGAATTTGTCTTTGGTGCATATGGTCTCAGTATACATAAAAGAAAAGATACATTCGTCTAGAATCATAAAGTACAACACTTAATGATAGTCGTAGGGTAGAAATAAGCAATCGGGAAACAATATCAATATAAAGCGTAAGGATACAAGCAACAAAATTACAGTCATGCAGTCATAAGTGGGAGGAGATGGGTGGTGGGAAGGATGAGAAGATTAATAGTAGTGCAGACTTAGTGAATAGTTTGACAGTGTTGAGGGAATTATTTGTTTAGCAGAGTGATGGCATTCGGGAAAAAACTGTCCTTGTGTCTAGCTAGTTGTTCTGGTGTACAGCGCCTTATAGCCTCATTTTGAGGGTAGGAGTTGAAACAGTTCATGTCCAGGATGTGAGGGGTCTGTAAATATTTTCACAGCCCTCTTTTTGACTCGTGCAGTATACACACATATTTTTTCTAACTAAAGCATAAAAATAAGACATTTTAATCACATTTGGGGTTGCTCTTCTACCCTTTCTTTTCCCTCTTTTCACAACAAACCTTCTTCTCCTTCTTCTTTCTTTCCCCTCCCTCCCTCCTCTCCTCTTCTACTTTCTTCCTCCTCCTCTCCTCTCCTCCCTTATTTCCCCTTCCTCTCCCCCACTCCTCCCCTCTTTCCCCCCTTTCTCACCTTCTCCTCTGCTCTTGTCCCTTCTCTCCTTCCCCTTTCTTCCATTCCTCCCTCTCCCTCTCCTCCTTTTACCTTTCTTTGTTGTGCAATATTTCCCTTATTTGGTATCCGAGCAACTCCAATTTTCTAATAGTATATACTTTCTTTTCGATTTCTTTCCCATTTTATCCAATCTATCATTTCATAATTGTACATTTATATTTATAATCTTCTTTCTTCCCCACACCATCTCCCTTTTCCATTTACTCTGGTGTGATCCAAGTTTCTGTTTCTTTTTTGTCTTATCCCTCATTTAACTTTCTATTATCTATATAATTTATCTATCAACTTTTATTCATATTTCTTTTCTATCCACACATCCATTCCAATGTGTGGACTTCAACTCCCAGAATTCTCCAGCCAGCCATGCATGAATTCTGGGAGTTGAAGTCCATGCGTCTTAAAGTTACAGCTACCGAGAGTCCTTCAACATCTCCTTCAACGTCAAGAAGAGGAAGAGATGTCTGTTTTGCTACGTCCCCTTCCTGCACATTTCGGGATGGCAGGAAGTTCTCAATATTGCACTAGACCGTGTCTTAGTATCACAAATACAACCCCACAGTACACTCACACTGGGCTTCGGGGGTTGTTGTTTGGAAAAGAACCAAAAAAAAAACCACTTGTCTGACAAAACACATTTATTTTCCAAGCTGTTTTCCTGAGAACTTCTGAGGGCTGGGTGTGATCGTAGATTTGCATTCCAAAACGACTTAGCCTCGGATTAATGTCTTCACACCTGCTGGTGTCTAATCTTGGTCCAACCTTGCCTTCTAGCCTTAGTCTGATGGCTTCCTGCTGCTGATCTCCTTGGGGGCAACCTTGTCTGTCAGATTGAGAGTTCCCCCATTCCTATCTTAGATCTTCTCCATTTGCCGTCGTAACTACTGTAGAACTTCCGCACAGATATTGGTGTGGTACCTTCCGTAGAACTTCTAATTTTGTGTTCCTAGTGTCTATTCTTCACCCAACCTTGGTTTTGAGCTTCATGCTGCTGATCTCCTTGGGGGACAACCTTGTCCTTCATGTCGAGTTCCCCCATTCCTGCTTTAGATCTTCTCCATTTTCTGGACACACAGCCAAGATACTGCCCTACCTTCTGTAGAACTTCTAATTTTGGGATCATTGTGTCTATTCCTAGTCCAACCTTGGTTTTGAGCTCCCTGTTGCTGATCTGCTTGGGGACAACCTTGTCCTTCACTTGAGTTCCCCAATTCCTGCCTTAGATTTTCTCCATTTGCTGGACAGACAGCCAAGATGCCATCCTACCTTCTGTAGAACTTCTAATTTTGGGTTCCTTAAGATTACTATTGGTCCAACCTTGCCTTTCAACCTTAGTTCCTGCTGCTGATCTCCTTGGGGACAACCTTGTCCTTCACGTTGAGTTCCCCCATTCCTGCCTTACGTCTTCTCTTTTTGCTGGACAGATAGCCAAGATGCCATCCAACCAGCTGTAGAACTTCTAATTTTGTGTTCCTTGGGTCTAATCTTGGTCCAAGCTTGGTTTCAGCTTCCTGCTGCTGATTTCCTTGGGAACAACCTTGTCCTTCACGTTGAGTTCCATCATTCCTGCCTTAGATCTTCTCCATGTGCTGGACACAACAGCTGAGATGCCACCCTACCTTCTGTAGACCTTCTAATTTTGTGTTCCTTGGGTCTAATCTTGGTCCAAGCTTGGTTTTCAGCTTCCTACTGCTGATTTCCTTGGGAACAACCTTGTCCTTCATGTTGAGTTCCACCATTCCTGCCTTAGATCTTCTCCATGTGCTGGACACAACAGCTGAGATGCCACCCTACCTTCTGTAGACCCTTCTTTTTGTGTTCCTTGGGTCTAATCTTGGTCCAAGCTTGGTTTTCAGCTTCCTGCTGCTGATTTCCTTGGGAACAACCTTGTCCTTCACGTTGAGTTCCACCATTCCTGCCTTAGATCTTCTCCATGTGCTGGACACAACAGCTGGAGATGCCACCCTACCTTCTGTAGACCTTCTAATTTTGTGTTCCTTGTGTGTTGCGACAGTTTGACTTTGCTGCCTGGATGCCCAACACGCCGGCCACTTTGAGACAGCCTCCACCAACAGTCAAAGGCACGGCCTCCTTGAAAAGCATCTTAGAGACCTTTCCTGAAGTCAACTCCACCTGTGCCTTATTGTCCCTGCTGTCCATCGTCAGCTATGAGCCAGGAGACCTGGTAAGTGGACCTAAGAGTCAGAAGATGATAACAAAGACAGAGAAAGTCAATAGAACGATGGCCTGATGTCCAGGGATGGGATTCAAAAATTTTAGCAAGCGGTAACATTCTGGCCTTTGACCTTTCTGGATTCAGTTGTTTCTGAAATGATAGTGTCAACTCGCAAAGCATCCCTGGCCTGCTCTCGAGTTGTCATTAACAGATTAACAGAGTTGGAAGGGACCTTATAGGTCATCTATAAGGTCCCCGCTCAAGCAGGAGACCCTATAACATTTCTGACAAATGGCAGTCCAATCTTTTCTTGAAAGTCCCTCAGCGAAACTGCACAGTAGCCAAAGACAGATGCACATTCCAGGCTTATCTCTCTCAAGGCTGTCTCCCAGGGTTACCTGCGGCAGCTGGAGGGGAGTGACTTCTACAACCCGCGAAACTGCTCCGTTGGCGAATGTGATTGATGACACACTCTGGGGGGGGGGGGGGCGGAGGAAACAGGGTCATAATTGGAGCGTAAATTACGTAGGGTCAGAGCTGACTTCACTTGGGAATTGCCGACATGAAGCTCCTAATAAGTAACTGGATTTCTTTTGAAGCTTGGCTCGAGACTCATAATTTAATTAGGGCATCCGTCAGAACCCTGACAGATAGATGCCTCCAAAAATTTGCAGATTAGCAGGAAAAATAATAATAATAATAAGACGTTAGCCATATTTTACATCCTGCGTATTTTTTTTTTACAAGCTCAGTCTGTGGCTTTGAAGATTTGTTGGGTTGCACTTCCGTAAGTGACGGTCTCCATCATTTTCTCCTTCCAGAGACCTCTGGGCCACTACCCCGAAGAACATTTCACCGAGGAGATGCCCAAAAACCTCATTTCCGATTTCCAGAAACACCTGGCGGCCATATCCAACGAAATCGAAGAAAGGAATCAAGGTTTACCCATCGGCTACCACTATCTCAACCCTTCGCTGGTCCAGAACAGCGTCTCCATTTAACGACGAAGCCACACAACGACGCCGAAGGCAGATGATGATTTGTTACCTTGAATTTGATAACGTTTTGACCATCGGGGAAAATCTGCTTTTCTGCTAATAATAATAATAATAATAATATTAATAGGGGGAGGAAGATTAGAGGGTGAGGGAAATTCGGCTATTTTTAGGTGGGACCTGCAAGGAGGGATGGATGGGTTGGTGGGTGAACTAGAAGAGATTGCAAGAAATCCCCAATTTTTTCTGCTGAATAAGGGAGGGAAAAGGATTGTATCCATTGAAGAAACGAATGCTCTTTGACTTCTGGAAACTCAATCGGATTGCTTCTCTTTTCTTTTCTTTTTTTCTTCATGTTTAATGATCGCCTGGTAGTTGCAAAGTTTAAAACATGAGGACTAGAAACGCTCGTTTAATAATCATAAATAATGTCATGAACGCAACAGTAATTGCAAAGTTTTTAGGTCATGAGGACCAAACTAGAAACGCTAGTTTAAACTAGTTTAGTCATCATAAATAACAAGAAGCATCATGATCGCCCAGTAGTTGCAAAGTTTAAGACATGAGGACTAGAAACACTAGTTTAGCAATCATAAATAACCAGAAGCGTCATGGTCGCCCGGTAGTTGCAAACTTTAAATCATGAGGACTAGAAACACGAGTTTAGTAATCCTAGATAAAAAGAAGTGTCATGATCGCCCGGTAGTTGCAAACTTTAAATCATGAGGACTAGAAACACGAGTTTAGTAATCCTAGATAACAAGAAGTGTCATTATCCACAGTAAATTATATTCCACATTGCCTTGATGTCTGGATATTTATATTCATCTAAGTGTTTCTCAACCTTTAAGATGGGTGGACTTCAACTCCCAGAATTCCCCAGCCAGCATATCCATTCCCCAATTAATTGTCATGCCATCTATCCCTTTAACCCATTTATCAATGTAGCTTGTCATGGATTATTTTCCCCCCCACTTTGCTGAAGTCAAGATATATTATGTCTACTGCATACCCACCATCTATTAAGAAAGTTACCTTACGTGACTGACTGGGGAATTCTGGGAGCTGAAGTCCACAGGTCTTAAAGTGGCCATGGTGGGAGACCCCTGATTTAAGACTTGTGGACTTCAACTCCCAGCATTCCCCAGCCAGCTCTTTGTTTCACTTTGCTGAAGTCAAGATATATTATGCTTACTGCATACCCACCATCTATTAAGAAAGTTACCCTACGTGGCTCACTGGGGAATTCTGGGAGTTGACGTCCACGGGCCTTAAAGTGACCGAGGTTGGAGACCCCTGATTTAAGACGTGTGGACTTCAACTCCCAGAATTCCCCAGCCAGCTCGTTTTTTTCCCCACTTTGCTGAAGTCAAAGATATATTACGTCTACTGCATTCCCACCATCTATTAAGAAAGTTACCCCATCATTTGTTCTTGTCCTAGCCATGCTGAATTTTTTTAGTAAGCCTTTGCTGGCTGGGGGATTCTGGGAGTTGAAGTCCGTCCATCTTAAAGGGGCCAATGCGGAGAAACATTGGCCTAAGCTACGACTGGAAAATTAACATATAAAAAGATCCGACTGGGACAAAAAAATGGTGAACTGTGTTCTTTTTACTTTTTTTTGCATCCTCCTTCAGAAATAGGGGGGAGATGGAGATAACAAAACCCTGTCATCTGTTTTTAGTCCTATAATGACTCAAGGTTTCCCAGGGCAATCCCGGCGCTGTGAAATATGGGGAAAAAAAACGCCTTGTGGGATATTATTAAAATTGGAGTATTCAGACGAAGGTGTGAAATTGGCTCCAGCTTCAGGCAGGGCTGAAAGAGAAGGAGGAACAACAAAGATATATGCCAGATTATCAAGGTGAAAAAAAACCAAACTCATTTCTCTTGTAGGTGGAAACAAGGTAGACCAGATGGAAAACATAACCAGATAAGATAATTCTCCTTGATTGTAAAACGACGTTGACAGAGTCTTGAAAATCTGAAAGGATAATTCTTCCCCAGTCTCTTTTACAGCCCGAGTAACTAGGGACAGTCTCTTTTCTTTCTCCATCCCATTATACAGCTCTGGGCTACGCTGCCTCTTATCTAAAAGGGGTCGAGGACTTTCGGTCTCTGACTCTTCATTCTCGTCGGGCGTTTCTCCTCAGGCGATTCTCCCCCGACTTATCTCCTCAGCTGGCATGCCTCCAGCCATTCAACCTGGGAATTTGTCCCAGTGGACGGTGGCCCATTCCCCAGGGCGAATGAGTGGAGGCATGCCAGCTGAGGAGATAAGTCGGGGGAGAATCGCCCGAGGAGAAATGCCCGACGAGAATGAAGAGTCAGAGACGAATAGTCCCATTCCGATCTAAAAGATGTCCCTTTGCAGCATCTTTTCATCCGGCTCCCAAGGCCCTTCCTACATACCAAAAAAAATAATAATCTGAAAACTAAAATCATTTGTCTGAAATGGTCTAGGATCTCCTGCTTTGACCAGGGGGGGCTGGACTAGAAGACCTCCAAGGTCCCATCCAGCTCAATTTGGATTCGGACCGAGCTGTTGCATCCAGCAGGTTTTCAACTGGCCCAACAACCCAAGAAGGGGAAATTCTGGCTCTGCAGATTATAGATTTGAGCAAGGGAGACCGGAGGTGGGTTTCACATAATTTTACAACCGGTTCGTCGTGCACCAAAAATGTGAGTGCGCACCTTCCACACCAAAAATGTGAGTGCGCACCTTTTCTCTCACACACAGCTTGCACGCATGCATGCGGCTTAGAAAACGTGGCTAAATAGGACGGCATAGCGCCGGGACGGGTGAGCAGCATCCGCAAGTCGCCACTACCAGTTCGCCAGAATTGCTCCGAACCGGCTGAATCCCAACTCTGAAGTACAGACACTTCCTCCCTCTCTTATAATGACAAAAACTAGAACCATCCTATAAAGCAGATAGGCAGGTGATCAGAAACAAGAAACGTACGACAATTGAGCCCAAAATTCCCGCGGCTAAGCGAGACAGCTGCCAAGTGGGGTTTTTCGCCCCATTTTACGACCTTCCTTACCATAGTTGTTAACTGCAGTGATTAAGTTGTTAAGTGAATCTGGCTTCCTCCCCTGGACTTTGCCTGTCAGAAGTTCGCAAAGTGGGGGGATCGTGTGACCCAGGGACAATTTGACCATCCTAAATATGTGATAACGGGAATGCTGCAACGGTCGTTAAGTGTGAAAAACGGCCATAAGTCACTTTTTTTCAGCACTGTCGTTACTTCAAACGGTCATAAGTTGAGGACTAGCTGCACACAATTCCTAACGAATGGATTGAAAACCTTCCCAAATCAACGATAACTTGGATTCTCCTCTCCTAAACTGCAAACCCTCTGGACGTTTCGGACTACAATTCCCATCCCTTCCTCACCATCTCTCTCCCCAGTCGCTCGGATGGCTGGAAGGCGTGAACCGTAGGCAGCTCGGCAAAGTAGCTGTCCATCTTAGATCCGTTCCAAGGGTGATTGGGTAAACATTCAGAGGGCGGGACATGTGTGCCATTGGTTGCAAAAGTTATCACAGCTAAGGATCCTCCCCGTACTGAAGCAGTCTATCTGTGCCAGGAGAGATGGGGGTGTGGGTCTCCGCTCTGCCCACTCTGCAGAAATATCTCTGCATTTTCTTAGGGATTCCAGAATTAAACCTGGAAATAAGGAGGATGTCAGGTTTCGATGCTATCTCAAAATAAACGAATTTCCAAACTGCCGATCTTGAAGGAAATTTCCTCTTTATTCGAGCACAGCGATCTGATCCTGGCTCTCTCGCGGTCAGTACTGACCTTTGCCGCCCCCAATCCCTCCCTTTCCGATCCCCAATTCTCTGCTTCTCATTGGCTATCTTCCAAGTCACTTTCCTGATCCCTTCTTCGTCAGATCACAGGAATGTCTCCCCCCCTCTCCCATCTCCGAGGAGACAGAATCTTCAAAGGGATTTAGTAGGCAAAAGTTCAGGCTTCTCCTCCCTTTATTATATGTCAGTGCTGGGACGCTGACAGAGGAATTTTCTGACAGCGAGAGCCATCCACCCATGGAACGGAAGTTGCCTTCGGAAGTTGCGGGAGCTTCATCAATGGAAGCTTTCAAGAAGAGCCTGGACTGCCGTCTGTCGGAAATGGCGTAGAGTCTCCTGCTTGGGTGGGACAGGGTTGGACTAGATGATCTCCAAGGTCCCTTCCCACTCTGTTAATCAGTATTATGAAGACCGTGAGTTCCAGAGATGTCCTATCCAGGTAAATCAGCTCCCTGGTTAAGAATGCATCCAGTTTTGATTGCCGCGATATTAAAAAAAAAAAGATGTGGAGACTCTAGAAAGAGTGCAGAGAAGAACAAAAAAGAGGATTTAGGGGACTGGAGGATAAAACATCTAAAGAACAGGAATTGGGTATATCTAGTTTAATGAAAAGAAGGACTAGGGGAGACAGGATAGCAGTCTTCCAATATTTGAGGGGCTGCGACAAAGAAGAGTTGGGGGTCCCCCTATTCTCCAAAGCACCTGAAGGCAGGAGAAGAAGCAACAGATGGAAACTAATCTAGGAGAGAAGCAACCTGGAACTGAGGAGAAACTTCCTAACAGTGAGGACAATTAACCGGTGGAACAGCTTGCCACCAGAAGTTGTAGAGGCTACATCACTGGAGGTTTCCAAGAAGAGACCGGAGAGCCATTTGTCTGAAATATTAAAGGCTTTCCTGCTTGAAGATGAAGAGTTCCTGCTTCCAACTCTTTGTTATTCTGAATCCAAAGGTCCATCATATCTAAGGTTGGCTTTCCTATGGGGCAAAGGAAGACATGTGGACACTTGATACCCACCCGAGGGTCAGGAGACGAGACTTAAACTTAGACCAACTTTATTGTCGCTTTGAAGGTCCGCTAACCGGCATACGTCAAAATGAAATTTCGTTGCACGCAGCTCTCCAAAGGGTCACCCCTTCCAATAGACACTACATAACCATGACGGGATGGATGGATAGATAGATAGATAGATAGATAGATAGATAGATAGATAGATAGATGATAGATAGATAGATAGATAGATAGATAGATAGATAGATAGGAGAGAAAGAGAGAGAGAGAGAGAGATGATAGCGAGCAAAAGAGATGATAGATGATAGAGAGAGAGAGAGATTATAAAAAGAGCGTGAAAGATGATAGATGATAGATAGATAGATAGGTAGATAGATAATATAGAGAGAGAGAGATGAGAGAGAGATGATAGATAGATGAGAGAGAGAGCAAAAGAGATGATAGATAGATGATAGATAGATAGATGATAGAGAGATATGATAGAGAGAGAGAGCGAAAGATGATAGATATAGATAGATAGATAGATGAGAGAGAGAGATGATAGAGCGAAAGAGATGATAGATAGATAAATGAGAGAGTAGAGATTAGAGAGAGATGATAGATAGTTAGATGATAGACAGACAGACAGATAGATAGATAGATGATAGAGAGAGAGATGATAGAGAGAGAGAGAAAGAGATGATTGATGTTAGATAGATAGATAAATGAGAGAGAGATTAGAGAGAGATGATAGATAGATAGATAGATAGATAGATAGATAGATGATAGACAGACAGACAGACGGACAGATAGACATATGATAGAGAGAGAGGAGAGAGAGAGAGAAAGAGATGAGAGATGTTCGATAGATAAATGAGAGATAGAGAGAGATTAGAGAGAGATGATAGATAGATAGATAGATAGATAGATAGATAGATAGATAATAGACAGACAGACAGACAGACAGATAGATGATAGAGAGAGAGAGATTA